AAAGCATTATTCATTGATACTGACACATTTGGTCTCTGCTCTGTGCACCTATTTCTTCCACACTGGACTTGGTCCCTTATAGGCAATTTCGGCAATTCATTGAGAGTGAGTCACAGTATTTATTTAGAGCATGGATAGTCTGCACAGACTTAGTGAATGTTAGGATTTCTTGATTACAGAAGGACCATCAAGTGCCGGGTTTTGCTGGCTTCGCTTGGAAGCAGAGGTCAGAAAGGAGGAGGGAGCTCAGGGAGTGAGCAGGTTCAGAGCTCCTTCTTCCCAGCCCTCCAGCAAGAGCACCCCTGCATGTACCTGCTTTGGGTGTGGGGCTCCTGCATGAGATTTCTGCAACCTACAAGCAGTCCTGAAATCCAGTAGTCAAATCCATGGACTCATTCATTTTTCAGATGAGGAAAGTGGCCCACTGACCATCCCTCTCTTAACTAACTCACGTGAGTTAATAAATGGATGCCAGAATGAGAATAAGCACATAGGTCTCTTCTGTGTGCCCCTGTTTATTAAAGCCATGCTGGGTTAATTCTGGCACACATCACTGGCTGCTTTCCCGATTCTCTGGCCGTTGTCTTGTGGAAAAGGCCTTATTTGGAGGATCTAAAGGAACAGAAAATATCCTATAAAAGCCATAATAACATCATTGAAGTCACATTCCATTTTTGCTAAGAGCCACTTCGATCACACAATACCACAGCACCCCCTGAAGCTGAGCAGTGCACAGCCTAAGCGACTGTATGGAGCGACCCTGTTTTTACTTTACAGGTGTGAAAGCCAAGACCACAATTGGACTAGAAAGTTTCAGTTCAGACTTGTGCAAGGGAACTGAAACTTTCTAGTCCAAAGCTGGCTTTGGAGACGGCAGATCTGAATCTTGAATCTGGGCTCGCTACTTAACCAATCCTAGGAATATTGACAAGTTACTTGATATCACTGATCTTCAGCCTTTTTATCTAAAAATAGAGCTGGCAGTACTCACGGATTGTTAATTCATGGATTGTTATGAGTAATTAAGTTTAATAGTCTATGTTAAAACCTCTGTGTAAAGCATATCAGGGACTAGATAAATGTTCCTTTTCTTATAATTTAAATTCTGTCTCACTTCATACATGTCCATATAGGCTTGAGTCAAAATGAAAGCCAGATATTTTTAAAGTTTACCCTTAACTTGGAAACTTCTGGATTTTGTCACAAGTTTAACATTAACCAAATAAAATTTGGGGTATCCAAAGACAATGGGCCTGTCTTACTCTTGCAAAGCACTTATAAAACGGAGCACTTCCTGGGGGAATAGTGCTGTGGGTTTCCCGAGAAGCCTCTGCGAGAGAAAATTAGAAAGACTGAAAATTGAAGTCTTATTCCTATGACTCTGGAATCCCCTGGGATGACCTGGGGGTCCAGAGGCTGACTGCCCTCAGACAGACTCTGACTGAAATCAGAGCTCCTCATTGTACCAGCTACTTGGGTGTGCTTGGGTCGCTTTCAAGCCTTCTTTATTTGCCATTCAGACAGGAACCATAGGCCCAGAAGCTTGTTTTCAAAATCTAGGAAAACAGATGTTTTTGCTTATTTTTCTCTTTCTCGTGCCAAAATGCTCACTGAGTTTTCACTGGGTTTTGAACTTGCCATTTTTTTTTTCTTTTTACTTTTAAGACAAATCATGGAAAGGGGTCACTGTAAAATGAACAGGAAGGGTGGGCATCCCAAACTGGGAAAGGTCTGTTTCAGACTCTAATGAAAATGTTTAAGAACCTGAAGGTAGGAAGTCCTAGAAGGTAAACGGACGCAAGATTGGCTCATTGAGCCCTAAGAGGGTCTACCTCGCGTTACCCTCAGGCCTGCGATGTCTGTGCCTCCCTGGCAGCCTGGGATAAGAAAGCAAGTGCTGCCTTTTCCTCCGAGGAAACCAAAAGCCCAGCGTCTAGCTGAGCAGGGGAGCGAGGCTGAGAAGAGCTGTGCTGATTGGCTGCCCAGGCGTTAGGTGGTGCGCTAGGTAAGACCCAGTGCCGCGTACAGCTCCTCGAGGGTAGAGACGGCTCAGACATTTTAGCCACTGTATCGGTATCCTGTTGGCTGCTGTAACAAATCACTACAGGTTTAGTGACTTGTGACATCTATTTAGGATCTTCCAGTCGGTCGGTCAGAAGTCTGGCTAAACTCTGGATGTCAGCAGGGCTCTGTTTTGTTTTTTGTTTTCGTTTGTTTGTTTGTTTTTCTGGGGGCTCTGTGGGAGAATTCCTTTTCTCTCCTTAACTTTTCCAGTTTCTGGAGGCTGCCCACATCCCTGGGCTTGTGTTCCTCCTCCTTCACGTGCGAAGCCAGCAACAGCAGGTTGAGTCCTTACGTTACATCACTTCCTTCCTCTCTTCTGCCTCTCTCCTCTGCTTTGGGCGACCCGTGGGATTACCCCCATGATGATCCAGAATAATCTCCCCCATTTTAAGGTCAGCATGATGAGCTCCTGAACTCCATCATCAGCATCCTTAATTCCCTTTGCCATGTAGGGTCATAGATTCACAGGTTCCAGGGATCAGGACATGGACATCTTTCGGGTAGGAGTGGGGGTGGACGTTGTTGCCTACCATAAGTACAGAAGTCGTTTTCACACTAAATATGACAATTTTATGTATTAGGACTCTTTCACTTGTGGGAAAAAACCTAACTCAAGTTAATAAAAATATTTTATTAGCTTAAATACTTGAAAGGAAATGTATGATTGGCTTTAGGTACAGGTGGATCCATATGTCCAACAAGGTCATCCGGGTACTCTTGTTTCTTTGCTTGGCTTTTTTTCTTTCTTTCTTTCTTTTTTTCCCCTTTCCTTTTTTTTTTTTTTTTTTTTTTTTTTAATTGGCAATGGTTTGATTCTCAAGCACAGGCCCTCTGCATGGTGGCTAAGCCAAAGCCCCCAGGCAATTCCAAGCCTACAGAGTTCTCAAGACCCAGGATCCCAGAGAGGAACCCATGACCTCTTTTTCAGTAGCACCAGCAAGAGCCTGAGGATGACTCCCAGCTTGGCCATACGCACATCCCTAGACCAGTTTCTGTTCACGGAGATCTTAGAGCAGTGATGAGCCAGCCTTAGCACAGCACATGTACCGAGAGCGGGAGGGAGAGGTTCTGCAAAGAAAATTCAGAGGCCGTTACCAAAAGAAGAGTGAAAGAGCTGGACAGGCAGACACCACTGGTGTCCACTCCACGCTCTCATTGCTGGATTTCAGAACCATGCACCTGATCCCAGCTCAGAGCTCATTTGGCTTGAAGCAACAAGACACTTAAACTTAAATGAGTACTGAAGAAGCTCACCCAGGCCAAGTACTATGTCAGAAGACGAGTTGTGTGATAGCTGAGAGTATATAGGTTTTGGAACCAGATTGTTTGGGTTCATATCCGGCTTACTGGTTGTGCTTACTTAAGCTCTCTGTGCCTCAGTTTCCTCATCTGTAAAATGGAATTAGTACTAGTAGCTACCTCATAAGCTCGTTGTGAAGTTTAAATGTGTTAATACAAATAAAGTGTTTAGAATGGTTTCTTGACACAGGGTAAGCCCTTGGCAATTAATAGCTTTAAAAGTTATTATTGTTACTCTAAGTAAACCCCTGAAGATGGCTTAGGAACTTGGAAAATAATTATAGGAACCAGGTCAGATACTTTCTTGCTTTCACTTTTTCTAGCTGGGGCCACACAGTCTGTTATCTCTGGAACTTTCTTTCAAGCACATCAGTGGGAACTGAGGTTTTTATTTGTAAGATGAATTTTCACATGGTTTTCAGGTACCCTCCTTTCATTCTGTCCTTTCCTACACCAAATGAATGCTGCGTCTGTATTTCCGTGTTCTGAGTCTTGAGAGAGTCTGATTGTCTGGCCCATGACTGGCGTTAAGTAAGAGTGCAACCTCGTTTGGTCAGTCGACAGACCAGGTTGACTTGGACACAGGGTCCCCTCTTCGGCACGGAAGGGCCAACTTAAGTCGAAGAGGAAAGTTCAGCTTATCTAGAAAACTGACCAGCTTATCTTTTGCATGTATGTGTTAGCAAGTGAGAGTTTTCCTACAGGAGGGGAAAGAGTCATTTTTAAAAAATGAAGGTTGTAACTAGATGTTCGGGAGGACAGCCCTGGGAACCGCTTTGTTCTGACGTGATTTAGCCGGTAGCATCTGTAGAGAAAAAATGGTTATTCTCTTGTTATTAAAAATGGTTGAGGCATGTTCAGCACCAACTAGAGATGCTCCCAGGAGGGACCCAAACCCATTCACTTCTGCATGAAGTGGTCAGTCTCAGAAACTCGCTCCTAGAGCAGAAGTTGCGGAGAGGGTGGACTGCTTCCGTTCCCTGTCAGGAGAGCGGATTCCAGAGTGACCCCCAAATCTTCCTTTTGATGACAAGAGGAAAAGCCCACCTTTGCTCTTTGTTCCCTGTCCCCCCATCAGAGCCCTGTATTTTTTCAGCTTTCTCTGTCCAGCGTATTTAGAACATCTCCGTGTACAGGGATTCGCACTCTGCCTTCTGACCACCAGCTTTTTCTCCAGGCGCGTTAGTAAGAATGCTCCTGGTGAAGCAGTGTCACGGTGATCCGGGTGGTGGCGGGGGGTGAGGGGGGGAGGGAAGGCGTCCTGATAGAATTTCTGAGCTCTGAGATACTGCAGGAAGGGTGGAAATGCTTGGGATCAGAACTAGGCATCTTAGGAAGTGTGGAGATTTGGAGGAGAAGACAAAGCATTGTTAAAATTTTGATAGAGGTCTGCTGGGAGAGTCTCCACTGTAGAGACTCGTGTGCCCCTCTCTGGTTGAACAATTCGGCTCCACACTTGCTTTCAAATGCCTTGGTTTTGAAGCAGTCAACAAAAAAGCATCCCGCTGCCGGGGCCAGCCCTCAAAAAGAGAAAAGAGAGCAATGCACACCGTGGGGGGAATGTGCGGGAGAGAAATATTGTCGAGCGGAAACGCGGCTCTGCTGGCCTGATACCGTGTGCATTATCTCCCCCAAAGGACCCCGTGGTTTAATGGATGGGGTTTTAACCTGCCCAGAGGTCAGTCTCTGCTGGACAAGTGGAACCTCATACCTGAGGGCATCGACATACTCATGACACACGGACCTCCTCTAGGTAAGTGAAGCAAAGGTTGTCCTTTTGTCATAAGGGATGCCTTTTTTCATAATAATGAAGCATAATAAATAATGCTTCAGGGATAGAATCCTTTTCCTTCAAAAAATAAAAAGCGAACACAAAAAGAGAAGTCAATGTCTTTAAAAGAAACCAGTATGATAATTAAACTCAGCAGTTCTGCTGGGCTTACAGGTGTTCTTGAAATTAAATTTTTTTATTTCGTTGAGTCAGGGAAAATCAAATGAGTGTGGAGCACCACAGCCTTTTGAGCTCGATCATTTATTTTAAGAACTGTACTCACTTAGGAGTGAGGGAGGTGGGGTGGGCAATGGAAGGCAGACACAGACCTCCCAGTCACAGGGCTTGTGAGAGAATGAAATGATGGAAACTTTTGTTTAAAGTAGCTCATTTGGGGTGCCTGGGTGGCACAGTTAGTTAAGCATTTGGCTCTTGGTTTCGGCTCGGGTAGTGGGATCGAGCCTCACATTGGGCTCTGTGCTCAGCGTGGAGTCTGCTTGAAATTCTCTCTCCTTCTCCCTCTGCCTCCTTTTTCTCTCTCTGTCTCTCTGTCTCTGTCCCTCTCTTTCTCCTAGAGATAAGATAAAGTAGCTCATTTTTCTTTTCCATATAATAGATCTAGGAAATCTTTAAAAGTTTAACACTTGAGCTGATTGTATGAGCAAAGAATTCTTTTTTCTTTTTTTTTTTAAAAACCTAAGGTGTTAAATAAGGACTTATGTTGAAAGTTACTTAGAGACAGTCATCCTACAGAATCCTTGAACCCACATCCGGTTTAGATCACCAGCATGCTTCAGAGCTACCTTTAGTTATGAAGATTATGGCCTAGAAGATGATTCTTTGACTTATATGATTATCTTTTAATTATTCAAGAACTTGTGATCTCTTTGGCTTAGCCACAGAACATTTTTCAAACGTGCCTATCACCCTGGTCCCCATCTGTCTGGTATCTATTATGCCAGGACCCTTCCTGTCCAACAAAGGTGTCCTCAAGATATTAAGATACTTCACTTTTTTAGTAGGAGAGTTTTCTTTTTCTTTGATTGTGGTAAAAAAAACACGTAACATGAAATGTGCACTCTTAATAAATGTCCACATGTATAGTAGTAGCAAGGTTTGGTTTGGAAAAAGGAAGAAAATACAATTATTTTCACAATTTTTCCCTTTGGCTTGGGTTGTTGTCCATATCACTTCCCTCCTCTGTCAACCTGAAAAATAAGAAAATCTAACACATGTCCCCTACTGTGAATTTAATCTTTGTAAGTATTGTTTCCTCCAACCCACGTAGGGCTGCTTTCCTTCTCTTACCAGGGGAGTGCTCTGTGTTTCACATAGAAATAGTCAAAGGGAGGACCCAGGTGTGAGTTATGGTGGCACATTTTAATGATAGGGAGACAAGAGAAGAGAAGCCAGCTCTGTTGCACATAGGGAGATTGTCCAGATTTGCACAAGATCTAGCACTTCCTGACTTTTTCAATATTTAAGAATTACCATCCCCATGCTTTTTTCCCTATTTCGTCCCATCCCATCCCATCCCATCCCATGTTTTAAAAGATTATACTTACCAACAACAAGTATCATCCATAATTCATTAATTTCCCTATTTTGCAGTCATTAGAGACTAACTCCTGAATGGCTAGCTAAATATCTGATTAGCATGAGTTACCCATCGAGACCTACAGAGAGGGCATCCCAGCCAACTTGATCCTTTTACTGAGCAGCCTCCTTGGGTACAGACATGATTCCCCTAAGGTTGTGTATTGTAAATAAGACTGGGATATTCTCACCACAGAAACATCCACATGACTCAAGTGTTATCTGGAACACAACTTTGGACAGAACAATTGATTGACAGATTCATCAAACCATTAATTTTGGTACAGAAGCCAATGGCAGTAGTAATAAGTCTGAATTCTAGCCTCCAAAGAATTCAGACATCCCAGGAACTTTCCACAGGGAGCCTACCATCCCTCTCTCTGTAGCAAACATGGAGTAATCTGGAGAGGGCTATGCATATGGCAAAGTGAGTTCTTCCTCAAGAAGTTCCAAAATAAAAGGTCAGGCAATGTTTTCACAAGGTGAGGTTGAGCCTTAATCAGTACATTATTGGGATTCATGTGGAAATGCCGGATTGGGGTGGGAGATGAAGATGGGCCCCACTGAGGAGGAAAGAGACTTTACTCTATGAGTAAAGCTCTATGAGACTTTACTATTATGGTAGAAACAGGCTGCCTTTCTCAGGTTGATTATATATGAATTAGATATTTTCCCCCTTCGAGAAAAAGACATCCATGAGGGAATATGCCAGAATATGCCAGTCACTGTGGATTAAAGATTTTTTTTCTCTGATTAACAGTTTTGAAACCCCTGGTTGAAGTTTTATGGGGCCCCCATTTTCATCTGATGTTCTTTCCAGCCTCTCCAGCCATTTCCCAACCTCCACGTAACCTATTTGTACAGAGATGCTATATTTTCATTTCTACAGTTTCTTCAAGCAAAGTGGAACAAGCTTATCTGTCCATTTCTCCTTGATCATTTCTAAATAGCAGAAATCCCCTAATGAAGCTATGGTCTGGATTCTCATGGATGACGATTTAGCTGTTAGTCCCACCTGCCTTCTTTATACCCACCCTGCTGAGGCGTATGGGTTCCATTTTGACCATCATCATTCAGATACCTGACTTGTGCTATAATTGATGTCCGTTTTTATGGATTTTCTGCATTAAGCATGGAAGTAAGCGGCTTTTACTTTAAAGGTAGTCAATTAGCCCCAGCTTATGGGATGCCGCCATGAGGTCACGTTGGTGCCTATTGTTAGAGAGGAGACTTGAGGAAGAGCTGGACATTTCCAAGATTTGGTCAGCAGGAACCAGCAAGGGTTAAGAGCTGATATACCTAAGGACAGCTGGGTATCTTGTGGCCAGTTTATAGACAGCCCTTCCTAGCCTGTCTTCTTTGAGCCATCTTAGAGGTAAAGTGCTATAAGAAAGATATAATAAAGGAGAAAGTAACTGAATTGTAAAAGAAAGAGATATTGCAGGAACTGCCGGGAATACATGTCATTAGGCCCATGAAAATTTGAAACCAGGGCCGCATAAATCAAATCCCTTACGAAAAAAAAAAAAAAAAATGTTAATTAACAGAAAGAAAAAAATGGAAACCAAAAAAAAAAAAAAAAAGTTTCAAGAACCTAAAGAAGACAAAGTGACAAGTGAAAAGTTCCTTAAAAGCCATTGTGAGCTTTAATGGAGAGTCTAGGATTACAGATAATGTAATAAACCTTCTGTGAGTTATGGCTTCCTGAAAGTCTAAATGAAACCTTACCTGAAGAAGGAAAATTAAGAGTATTGATTGCATTTTGCCCATAGGTTTTCGAGACTGGGTTCCAAAGGAGCTTCAAAGAGTGGGCTGCGTGGAGCTTTTAAACACCGTCCAGAGGCGAGTCCGGCCCAAGCTCCACGTTTTTGGTGGCATCCATGAAGGTAAGATCAGAAGAAAGGCATTCACGAGTTGCTGTGTCATCATCCGTGATCTCATTCCAGAGTGGGGACCTCGGCTACCCTGGGAATGACTGGAGCAGTGGTTGTCAAACTTTTTACCAGGGACAGAACCCTTTTTTAAGGAGAAGCACCTGCGTATGACACTGATGCGTGTTTGTTTTTTTTTTTAAAGATTTTATTTATTTATTTGACAGACAGAGATCACAAGTAGGCAGAGAAGCAGGCAGAGAGAGAGCAGGCTTCCCGCTGAGAAGAGAGCCCAATGTGGAGCTCGATCCCAGGACCCTGAGATCATGACCCGAGCCAAAGACAGAAGCTTAACCCACTGAGCCACCCAGGTGCCCTGATGGGTGCTTTATGTGGAGCTGCTCTCTCTGAAGCAGAGAGAAAGTGGAGAGAAAGAACTAGGTTTGGTTCATCCTGTGGAAAGCCCAGCACTCCCCCAGGCGACTTCTGGAATCTCAGAGCTTCGGGGAGGAATGTTTACTAACCACCAATGGAGAGCAGACTTGAGGTCAAAAAGGACATATTTTTTTTTTCTTTAAGATAGAAGAAACGGGCTAGATATTAGACAAAATAACTTCCGTGGCCTCTTTCTACCTGTAAATACTGTGTTTCATATGGAACACACGTGAAGACCCAGGAAGACAAGGCATTCTCTGAAACAGATAACTTGAGACATGCAGTGAAGGTTCTAAACAGCAGCGGCAGGAACCTGCACATTTGCAGGTAGTTGTTTCCTTACGAACCTCAGAAAACCCTTTCAGACTTCTCAGAAATCATCAGCACTCTTAGGGTCAGGCTGAGGCTAAACAGAATAATTCAATCTCGCCTTAAGGGGAACTGGTCCAGTTGCCTCTAGTTCTGCCTTTCACGGTAAGCTGGAGTCAAGTTCACAGAACCCGAAAGCCTCCCAGGAAACTTGACGGTTCTAGGTTTTGTCTTTCCTTCCTTTTTTAAGTGAGGGTTTTTAGACACGTACAAAGCTGTCCTTCAGCAGGCCTTCGATTTCCTGGCCCTACCGGTCTCTTCCAGTTCCGGGGGTTTTCGTGCTGTGGGTGCGTTTACATAGTAGGCAGCTGCTGTATTTTCTCCCGCTCCCCCTTACAGCTTGTCTTCCGCAGTCATTTATGAATCTGCAGGTGAGTTGCTGAGGCCTCTGTGTCTGATGAAATGAGAAAACAAAGTGTGCTGTTCAAAGCCCACAAATCCATTGGCTTCTGGGTTAGGCGTGGATTTAAAAGCATTATGTATTGAAAATCATCCTACTAATGCCTGAGAAAATCCAAGGGCAGGCACCACCCGAGCGCATGGAATGCTGGGGTGCAATTTCCCAAGAGTGGGCATCGTCCTACCCTGACTTTGAGCCCTAGTCCCAGAGAAGGGGGGACTTCTCTAAGGCATGGTATAGGATCCGTGGGGGGGGGGGGGTGGGAACGCGTGTCTAACCGGCATTTCTGGGGGACAGTTATCAGGCTTGAATTCCTGCAGCATGCCTACAAGTTTGTATGTCATCCTTTTTTTTTTTTTTTTTTAATCATTAATTAGCTTTAAGCTAGCCAGACAATTGGGGAATTCCACTGAAGTCCCAAAATAATAAACTTGCTTAAAAGGGAGGAGATCATATTCAAATAAACTTGTCTCACTTTTATTCACTTAAGACAGCTGAAGAGGGCAGAGAGAGGGCAAATACCAACCTCTTGATGGAGAGAGATAACAAGACTTTATGACCCCAGAACTAAACAGTGCACATTTTAAATGCCTCTTTTCTTTTCTTAAGAGATTTTTCCATTGACCCTCATTAAGCTCTCCACAGGCTTACTTGGACACATTTTAGCAAATAGAAAGAAAGAAAAAAAAAAAAAGGAGAGGAAAGGAAAAAACCTCAGCTATTTCTGTAAGTCCTGGTAATTTAATTTCTCACGTGCATATTTTTCTATTCCACAAGAACCTGATACCAACATAGAATTACAAACTTAATTCTAGAGGCTCTAAGGTAGGTATAAGGTCCAGGGAAATGTGCAAACTTGCAAACATGCTGAAAATGTCAACAAATTAAAAATTATAAAAGGGAGTTACATACCGAAGACCCAGAGGAACTTTCTTAGTTTCCTTCCAATAGGTCATGAGAGATTTATGTACTGCATGCAGGAAGCCTTCTTGCTTGAACCTCTGGTGATGTTTCTGCAAAGCACTGGGAAAAGCGATTACTTGGCTTATATGAATGAAACGGAACTCAGTACCAAAGCCACACAATTCGAGGGAGATAAGTTCTGGTATTGTTAACTTTCACTGAGGCAGTTTAGAGATTATCTCCTAGATAAGGAAGCTACACACCTACCCCTCCTAGATCCCAAACCAGGGCTCTTTCTCTCCACACCTGTCCCGAAGCCCGTGTGGGGTTTGGAGGTGTGTACCCTGTGGAATCCCTTTACTCTTCTGTTCCTAGAACTCAATAATTAATGCAGGGCTTTGAAATGAAAATCATATTTTAAAAAGAGGGGGAAAATTTTTTTTTTATTTATTCACACTACGAAAGAAATCACAGTCTTTCCCTGACAAATCTAATGCTTAAGTAGAGAAAAAAAGAATCACTTTTCTTTGAAGTGAGGATTCTCCCTTTAAAGAAAACAGAATGTAATTGGAAGGCAGCTTCCGAAAGCTGTTATCATCTGGGGAGGCTTCATTGAATCTCATCTCACTGCCCACTGGCAAAGATTTTTTTAGTTTTCCTTGCGTGACAGCTCACCACTGAGTCACTCTCATTTGTATCTATTACAGTAAAGCATGACACTCTGTCTCCACAGGTTACGGCATTATGACCGACGGTTATACAACGTACATCAATGCCTCAACGTGTACAGTCAGCTTTCAACCGACCAACCCTCCAATTATATTTGACCTTCCAAACCCACAGGGTTCCTGAAGCTCCGAAAGCCCAATTGGAATGTGAGGGAAGGTCTATAAACTGCCATTTTTCTAATTATAAACTTACATTCTCTTACTTGTTTATTTCCAAATCCTGTGAGTTCTTTTTGTAAATTACTGGAACACAAATGACGCTAGAGGTTGTGCTTCTCCTTTATTTTATTATTATTTTTTTTAAATGGGGCATCCATTCAAAATGAAAGGAGCATTGTGAATTTGTAAAATGACTTCGTTTTCTCAAAGGCCACGCCATTGTAAATTGTTAGTATTCGCCAAAGGACAGCCAAGCTTTCTTTTTAAAAAGGTGATGAAAGTCTTATTTTAATATGCTTTAAGCTGGAAGAAAAAGGAAAAAAAAAAAAAAGAAAGAAAAACAGGTAGGTAGTGTTTTAAAAACCACCCAGATTTGCACAACTGTTTAAGAGTATTGTTTGAAGTGTTTTATTTTTTGATGTTTTGTTGTTGTTGTTTTCTTGGTAACCCTTCTTTTTTGCAGACATGGCCTGGATTTATAGCAATCTTTTCAGCAAAAGTAGGCGTGGAAAAGACTTCTCTTCACACTCTCACTATAAAGAAAGCTGCGTCCAGGGAAGAAAACGGCCCTCGTTTAAAGGATGGCTTAGCTAGTGAGATCTGTACTGTGGTTATACAAGATCTCATTGTTTGTTTGTTTCTTTTAAATTATTTTAGCTTTAAAAATATGGAAATGGAATCTGTCAAGAGCAGGTATTTCATACAGTTAAAAAAACAATTGAGCGTGCAGACTCCTTTTCAGTATGGATTTATATATATAAATATTTTTTGTGTATTATGACTAAGTTAGGAGTTTAATATTGCCAAGGACAGTACAACTGCAAAGGGATGCTTTATAGCAGGGCATCAGAAGTCCAAAGGGGCTGACACATTGTCTCAGAACTCAAGGTCTCAAAGAGCTTGAGTTAAGTCTAGGTACAGTTACAGGCATGTACAGACTTACGTGGATGCAATGGAAGGTAACTAAAATAAGGCTTAGTCGTCCTTTATATTTAAATACCCTGAATTGTCTTCTTACTTCCTCTCCCTCCCCCCATTTTGCACTGTGTGTCGATGCAATCTTCACTAGCACAAAATATTGTCGCTAATAGTCATTTCTGTTTTCCCATTGTAAATGCTGTTGAGCTTTATTCTATTTTATGTTATCTTGTTAATGAAATTTAGGAAAGCAGTTGTTTCTTTTAAATTTATTGTGATATTCTATATCTAGCGGCCTTTATATGCAAATAAAATTGCAAGATTTTTAAATCTGTCCTGTTTGGAGGGTAGGAGGATGGTGCTTTAGTCCTGGGGAAGGGGTAGGGGGATTTATTCATATGCAACATTAGTACTGCCTTCCAGAAGAATTAGAATAAGTGATTTTTTTTTTCTGATTTTCAATAAATTTTTATTACCCACCATTCACAGGCCAGCAGGTAGATCGATAAGGCACTCAGTCTCCTCTTTCCTTCCATCACACTGTCATCTATCTTGCCGTAGGCTTCAGAGGGTGACTATTTTGTCTTGACCATTGTGATTTCTGTAGGAAGGGTCACGTGCAGTGGAGGCTGGGGATGGTTTTGTGGTTGTGTGTGTGCTGGAGAGAGGGTGAACCAGTGGGTAAGAGAGTAACCACTACTCGGTCTCGTTTGTCCCCAGGAGCTGTTACCGTTGCCCCCTCGCTGTTCTTTACTTATGTCCATCGCTAAAATGTTATGGCAGCCAGGAGTCAACAGGCACAATGGGGTGTGGTAAACTAAATAATATTTTCTGTATTTTCTCTGGAACAGCCAGTGAAGAAAAACAACATGATCTCAAAACTGCAGTGTAGCCCAAAAGTCTACATTCCAGTGCCCATTGGATCATATTCTCACAGGTCTTCCTTTCCTCCTTCTGTTGTGGACTCTTTGGTGTAACTGATGAAAAGAATCCTTGATTTCAGTACCCGCTGGGTAGAGAGAATGTTTTAGGCCAGAATTCCAGCTCAGACTCACGTGTGTAGCCATCTTAATTGTTAATATTGATTAAGTGTCTTGGCTGCCACCCAGCGTGTGTGGTGGACACTTTGGTCTGAGCTCACAGAGCGGACACTTGACCTTCCCAAGCAGAGGTGGTGCATGACCACAGTGGCCATGATGGGCCAAAAGAGGTACTGTGAGAACTTAACAACCCTCCTCTGATCTGCCACATCAATAGAAGAAGGTGTTGACTTCAGGGCGCTTCCTAGGGAGCTGGAGTGAGAGTCAGAGTGACTGAATGGAAATTTCATCTGGAGCTAAGCTCAGACTTCTGGAAAAGCAGGCTTTCCAGGGACAGGGGGATGATCATGATGACAAGTGTGCGTGTGCAGCTTTTGACAGCACGTCTGAACACAAACTAATTAAGCTAAGCACTTAACTAAAATTGCTTTCCATTGTGAGGGGGCAGGAAGCCGCGCAGCCCGCTCAATCTGCGGGGTAGACTGGCTCGTGGTCCAGGTTCATCGTTCCATATGTATGAACATAGCCTCCAGGAGGGCCAGGGTGACTGTCCAAAGGCCTGAAGCTTTCTCCACTGGGCCTTCTAACAAAGGAACATTTGAAATAGCTCTTACAAATTGGCACTTGCCGTCCTTTCATCACCAGGCGCTCTGCTGAGCAGGTCTCATATTTTGTTCCTAATCCTCACAAAACCCTGGGAGAGGTCACAGAAGCCCCACTTTATAGATAGGAAACCGAGGCTCCAAAAGTTAAACAAATTTCCCTGGGAAAGTGGAAGGTTCAAAACCAGGTCTGTCTGAATGAATAGCCCCAACCCCCTTTGACACCTGGCCTCTGGACGAGAAAAGTTGAAACCCTTGAAGAGCTGATGAAAACCTGATATGGGCCTGGGGGCGTGTCTTAGCCCTCCTGTGGGGGCTGTTGGCACATCCTTCAGATTGGACCACATCTTCCCTGCTTGAGCCACAGCGCACTGCAGGGGGTATGAGCGCAGGGCCTGGGGCCAGCATGCCTGCCCAAGTCCAGGCTACAGTTCGGACCGGCTCTGATGCCTTTGGCTGGGTCTTACCATCGCTGGAAAAGGGGGTTGAGGATGATGAAGTGGCTGTTAAGCTGTGATACAGGGATTACTGCCTGGCCTCAGTTTGTTACATAAGGTCCCCCGTGCTATCTTGAAATTCTCCAGGCAGGACCTGTCTGTTGCCTCTTCACCCTCAAGAGCAGCGATGACATCATTTCTGAGAAAGTGTATTTGTTGGCATTCCTTGGAAACCATAATGAACCTCTTTCATAAGAATATGAAGAACCCCAAGGACGTTTGTGAGAGGCAGATAAGGAGGCCTGACTTTTCGGTGTGGGCATCCTATTTTGCAGGTCCCTTCTAATCTCAGGAGAGGACGGGTCTGTACTCCCTAGAGTTGCTTCCAGTGACGCCCGTTGATCTCAGCATCTCTCCTTGGGGTCTTTACATTCCATGTCCCCCTCTCCTTCAAGCTCAGGTAGTGAATTTTCTTTTTTTTTTTCTTATTTTTTTAAGCACATATAGTGAATTTATTTCTTTTTTCTTTTTTATTTTTTTAATTTTTTATAAACCTATAATATACTTTTATCCCCAGGGGTACAGGTCTGTGAATCGCCAGGTTTACACACTTCACAGCACTCATCAGGTAGTGAATTTTCACCCTACATTTTCTCCCAATCCCCTTTTGTCTTATAAAGATGTTGTGGGGGAGCGGGGGGGGGGGGAGGGGGTAGTTGCTGAAATCCCCTTAAGAGGCAGGTCACTGTTATTCTGACAGGTGGCCAACAGTTAAGCCTGCCCTCATCTCCATCACTTAAGTAAATAAATACTGTGACCCAGGTCTTAAGTAGGGAGAAACAGAAGCTGGGAGGATTTGGGATTTGTCAATGGCAGATAAAATACTTGCTGTGCCCACAGTAATGTCCCCTCCCCCAACCCTCCCCCAGCAAGGCTCTGCTGCTCCATCAGACTGAACATCCATCTTTTATTTTGGTTTCTCAGTATCTTTTCATGCCCTGTTTCCACTTTCCTAAAAGTTTTAATTGCTTTTCATTTAATTATGAAACCAAAATGAATTAAAGTCTACTTTTGAGAAATCGGCTATAAGCATTTGGAAACACTGCCGGGTAGGGAGCCGGAGGCATTTGGATGTGGGGAATGTTCCAGGACTGGACGTTCTTAGTAGGTGGCTTTGTAGAAGGTTCCAGGCCCCCTTCTGGATGTCTGCTTCTAAATGCAAAATGTTTTTTTCTCCTACTTTGTGATGTAGTAGCAAGATTGCTGCCTGTGTGTCTGCTGTCTGACAAGGTTCTTCCAGAAGTTTAGAGCTACTTTCCCTTCCTTTTCAAGATGTCGTCTCTGTCTTTCTGCTCCTGTCCTAACCTTTCCATGGACGAGAAAACCACACCAATTCAAAAGCCTCTCTGAAAAGCCTCCCTCTTCCCTGTCGCCCATCATAAAGTGAGCCTCTGTGACTCAAGAGAAGTTCAGAGAGGGTCAGTGGTACCAACCATGGTCACACAGCAAATCAAAAGAGCCCCACATTGGCATTTGGGCTCTGAACTTTGAGCATGAACGCTTTTCCAGTTTGACATTCAGGAATAACCAAAGATGGACAGCTCAGTTTGGCCAGACATAACGTGATTTTATAGCAGGAAACAACCTGCCTATCTGTGGTTGATTATTATTAAACCCGATTATTTGAAAGGAACCTTAGCATCAGACTTCCAAGTGTTCCCATGAGGATTCACTTTCTTTCCTTTCAGCCAGTCCACCTATAACAACTCTGACGGGAGCTGTTCCTCCCACAAGAGAGATGTTACTGTTTGTCACATGTTTTGACCTACATGTGTATGTCCAGTCTGGAAGACACTGGGTGTCAGGAAGAGCTCCTGACTTTGAGACAGAAGTGCTTGCTTTCAGATCCCAGTGATGCCATTTACCATCTGGGTACCCTTGGACACACTACTTTACTTCTCTGAGGCTTAGATCCCACACCTGCATAGTGGGGGTAATTCCTACCTCACGATGGATTTATCGGAGTTGATATGATAATATCACTAGGGTCCTAGACTCAGGGAGCTATCATTATACATGGAGGATTTTATTATGTTGTCCATCACAGTTTCTTAAAGCAAAAGAAAAAAGGGTGCAAAAGGAAACATTAAGCTTATTTTTCCAGGTTATTCAGAGCCTTTCACAAGAGAAAGCTAGTTCCTTGAACTGAACAGAGTCAAGGTAATGAAGTTACAAATCCACGCCGTACATACATTGAGCTCTTTAAATTCCCCCCTCTCTCTCGTCTCTCTCTCTCTTTCTAAACTACAAGACAAAGCATTTGTGGTAGGTTCTTCTCAACTCCTTGTTTCCTTCCTGAATTAGGGTTGTCTTACAAGACGAAAGTCTTGAGGTAAAAAACCTTTCATATCCGAGAGCATCTATATCTGGGTAATGGTGAGAGAGAGAAATGCATTTCCATTAGGGAGCATGGCCACAGTGGTACTAAAAGCACAAACAGACTAAACACGGAGAGGCAGAGAGCCTGCACCCATCAATCAGCGTTGATGTTTATGAAGCCACGGTTACCATGAGATGCATCCGAGTGCTCTCAGAGCCTGCTTACCAAGGGAAGGGGCCTTTAATTTCATAGCCCATTTCTGCCCTGACCTTAGTGGATGACCTTGAGGACAGGTTGAAATTTTTAGTAGAAGCTTCTAAAATAGCAAATGACTTGGAACCCAAGTGCTCCATGCTTGGGCTCAGCAACACGCCCTTGCACACAGTGGCTTTAGCGCTCTGGTACCAACTACTTAATCCTCCAAAGGGATTAAGTATTCTTCCTATTTCCTGGAAGCCTTCCCTGAATCCCCCTACTCATCTCCAGAACACCTCCTTTCAGTACTGCCGCATCACCCACAAACAGTGCCACCTGCTGCATGTTCTGATTGTCGCTGGTCTGCCACTAAGCTCCCTGAGGTCGGCGACCAGGTCTCTGCTTCTGCACTGCCAGCATCTAGGTCTGAAGAAATGCTGTCTTAATGAACTAATCAGTGTTGGGCAGACAAGAGCCAGGTATGTGAGAAAGATAGAAATTAATCACAGGTGAAATCAACATATTTCCTGCACATTGCAGGCACCATGCTGGACCAGTAAGCTTCACTTGCAAGGCTCTGTTCTCGTCACCAAAGGCCCTTGTAATTTGGGGAAGAAAACAAGATATTGACACATGAAGGTAAATAGTAAGATTCAAATGATAGTTCAACGCATCA